CTTGGTGTAAGTTCATCCACTGGAGTCTAGTCAGCCTATCTAGAGTCACTCTCTTAAAGAAGACTGACTTTCCCTCACCCAATAGTGATCAGCTGCCAATAGTTTCTCAGCTAAAGTTGGGGCCTCCTGCCCATTTCCTTAGCCCTATACTGGTTTGTGTCTGATTGAGTCTGCATAAGTCTTATGCATGCTGTCACCATTGCTGTAAGTTCATATGAGCAAATTTCCAGAAGCTTGGGGGAGTCTATTTCCTTATGGTCATGCATCACTCCTGGCTCTTACAATCTTTCCATCCCTTCTTCCAAAATGGTCCCTGGGCCCAGCGTGGGTGAGGTTTAACATGAGTCCTCTCCAGAGATACACACTTTGCAGTCTCTTATTCTCTATATTTTGGCAAGTTGTTCCCTCTGTGTTCATTACCCTCTGCTGCATGAGGAAGCTTTGCTGGTGAGTGTTGAGAGATGCTCTCTACTCCCTGTTCCACTAAGTTCCATGAGTCTTTGGTGTAGAGGTTCCATTGTAGATGTTTCATTTAGATCTAGGCATCTCACAGACAGTTGTTTTCTGTGTGTGATCAGTTGTAGAATTCTGTAATAGTCTCCATCTGTTACAAAAAGAAGTTTCTTTGATGAGTAGCGACTGGCATACTTATTTGTAAATATAAGGATACATATTTAGCATACAGTAGTAAATTTTGTTTGTCTGGGAATGTGACAGATATAGGGTTTTCTCTAGGCTCTATGATCTCCCCAGCTATGTGTATTTGGCTATGTTTATAGTTCCACACATGAATTCCCACCCATTGATTTGGCTTTAAGTCCAATTAGGTGGCTATTGATTACCCTTTTGATAAAAGTGCACTACTGCACTGATATATTTTGATGTGCCAGTCATTGTTTTGGTTATTAGACTTTAAAGCTGGGGTTGGAGCACTGATTGATTTTCTCCCTTAGCAGTTTTCATAGTGTGCTTCAAAATTGTGAGAGCCAGTCTTCAGGGAGGAGACTTCCATGTCAGTTCCAGCTCCATTGCTCTGAGTCCTGTGTTTGAAGTTATCCTCTCTTCAGCAATAGTGTATCATCTTAAAGTTCTTAGAGGTAATCAAGGACTGTGTCAATAGCCTGTGCTATTTTGAGAATCTTTTGGACTACCCTGACCAACACCTCAAAGGGAGTTTTCTTCTGTCTGGCATCATGTTTCGTGTTATATAGCCTTCATCTATATACATGCACTTATGTTTGGGTATTGTATGTGCATTTTCAGTATGCTTTTGAATTAATGCATTTCCCTCTAGTTTTTTACACCACCTAAGCATTATTTATCTCTCCCCCCTCTCTCTCCCTATTTAACTCTTCCTCCTCCCTCCATAGTTAAAGTACCCCACTTTTTCTCATTTTATTGCTGACCTGCATCTCTTTTGAAGGATAGTGCTGTAGATTTTCTCTTCTGATAATATTTTCATCTGGTTTTGGAATAATGTTTTTGATTCAAAGAATACTAAGTGAGTGTGATTGCATAGCCATAGACTAGACACCTATAGCCACCCCACCTCCAACCTATCCCAAGGCTCAGAGAAGAGAGAACAGAGAAAATAGAAAGGAGCACTATGAAATGTGGTTCTCTGAACATGACATGGCTCTTGCACACATGAACTCACAGCAGCTAGGTTACCTGAAGGTCAAGGCAGTTAAAAATTCCAGCATGGAAGGGGGGAAGGGCTCTGGAGGCCCCATCCTTAACTGAGAATTTATTGGTAGTTAATGGCTGCTAGTGGTGGGGAGAGTCTGCCAATACCCAGTGGATGACCTCATTCCCAACAGCATATTAGTAGCACTAGTTGACTCAGTGGGTTATAAAAAGTATCCCCTTAAACAAAAAACAAGATATGAAGTTAAGAGGGAGATGTATTGGAGGGGATGATTCTGGGGAGCTGGAGGGAGAGGGTTGGAGGTAGATATGATCAAGATATATTGTACACATGTACAACATCATCAAAAAATAATTAAAAATATTTGAGAGCCCTTTTTATTTTGAAAGTTGCAATAGAATTGCCGTTTTCTCAGTCAAATATTTGCTAGGGTTTAGGATATGGCTCCCAAGTTCTCTTGGAGAAAGTTTCACACCTTGATATCAATTTTCTTGAAGCATAAGAGCTGTTCAGAAGCCCCATGGCTGTGTTGGTTTGGTGACTTTCATTAAGTCTTCCTATTTCATGTAGATTTTGAGTATATTGCCATGATTGCACACAAGTTTATGCTGTTGTTCATTTTGCATCTTTACTGATGACTATCTTATTAAGTTGAGTCTATTGGCCTAAAGTTGCTTGTGATGCTCCTTTATTGTCTCTTCATACTGTAAATGCTATAGTGATGAATTATTTTCTTTCATTCTTTTTTGTGATAGAAAATTATTTTATTGCTTCTTGATTATATAGACACAGGCCATGCAGTGGTGAGGCTTAGGTGCTCTCAAGAAAATGAAAATAGACATCACCATTGGTCAGTACTAATCCAATCCTGAGGTACAGTCAGTCCTTCAGACAGGAGAGGACCTTAGGTTCATCTCCTGGAGATATTTATGAATAGGTAGCAGCTAGAGATTGGGAGCCCTGAAGAGCATGGATCTACAGACATGTGACTTACAAGCAGGGAGTGGTGGTACATGTCAGTAACCTATATACTCAGAGGACAGAGGCAAGAAAATCAGTAGTTCAAGGCCAGCCTAGGTTGGGGACAAAGGAAGAAAAAGAAGAGAGCAACGTGACTTGGATCCCATCCCCTTTGCTCTGTGTTGTCTTCTCTATTGCCTCAGCTGTCTTTGATGCCCACAGCACCTCCTAGACTAAGTATCCTGGAATGCAAGCCCCTGCCATTCTGCAAAACCTCCTTCACAGGAGGTCTGCAGGGCTCAGTTAAGGCTGATAACTTTGTGCACATGACCCACTTAGCACACACACAAATACTATGTAACAGATGACCAGGCCAGAGAATGGAAGACAGTGTCAAAAGGCTGCAGGTTTTCTTTGATGTCCAGTGGTCTTGTACAACAAAATGTCAGACATCACTACTCCCATCTGCATAGTAAAGGACATTCCTGACCCTAATACTGGAAACCAGGTTAATGACTTGAGAGGACCAGAGGGAGAGCCTCCACGTTCCCTGGGTCTGACACAGTTGCTATGTAGGGGAAAGCCACTCTATCCTGGCCTGACAGAAGCTGCATTTGAAAAATCAGAATTGACTTTCTGACTCCACTCTCCAATGTGGTCAACCTCAGCCCAGGTGATCTGAACCCACTGCACACTCTTTTGTTTCCAATGCACGTACAGTCTGAACCATGAGCTCTAGGTCCCCTTCATGACAGAGCTGTCCCCAGGCTTTCAGAATCCAGAAGAAACCTTCCAGTCTCTCTTTCTCCCTCCCTCTGTCCCTCCCTCCCTTCCTTTCTTTGTTTCTTCTTTCTTTTTTTTTGTCTTTTTGAAACAGGGTCTCCCTAGTCCCAGCTTACCTGGAACTCACTATGTAGAACAGGCTAGCCTCTGCCTGGGATTAAAGGTGTGTGCCACCACACCCAGTAAAGAAACCTTCATTTCTTTACTGCCAACAATGACAAAGTCCCACCTCTGTGTCATAGGCACAGTGGTAGAAACACTTAAAGCAGATATATGTAACAAAGGAGACTGTCTTGGGATGCCTTATGGCCCTGACTGTATTCCTGAGCTGAAGACAATGTTGAAAAAGATCTCTGGGATGAGACCCACATCATCATAACACTTCAGAGGGGCAGGGTCCAGCTCCAGGGTCCATTGGCTTAGATTGGATGTGTGGTGGAAAAGGTCCTTCAGGACGGTCATGGAGGTGTCATTTTCATAGAAATTGATGGTGGTGAGATGGGAGCTGAGGGCAGGCAGGAGGGCACTGAGCTCAGAGTACCCCAGCCTCCAATCCACTAATTCCAGAGTCTGCAGAGTTCCTGAAACTCTGTCTAGGAGAACTTGGAGAGGCACAGGACATAAATTGATTATTTCATTACCTCTCAGCTTCAGGCGCTTGAGCTGACTGAGGCTCTGACACCCTGACAGGGAATCAAATCTGACTGTGAAAACTGGCAAGAACTGAGGGAGCGGGTCTCCGAGGGGGACTCCAGGAGCCTGAACAACTGCTTCATGTGGTCACTGAGAAAGTTGGCACCACTCATGTAGAGATGCTGGCGAGAGCTGAGTTTGGAGAACTGAGAAAAGAACTTGGTGACAAATTTCTTCTCTGTGTATGGAAGTATTTACAGTGTGAAAGATATTCCTGTAGGTGTGTTCAAAATGGAGTGTGTGAAGATTTCTCATCTCGCCTGGTTGTAAAGTGCAAAATGTACCAGGGTGAACAAATTGTAATCAGTGTATAGTTCCAACTCCTGGATATACTGTGGCTAGGAAACTGTCATGACCTCCCTGACACTGTGGATGGGCAATCCCCAAATCTTTATCTTCTGACAGCACAACTGTAGGGAATTTCTTCTCCGCTGGATCCTCTGCAACAATTTTGTTTCATATTCATCAAGTTGGAAACCAAGGCAAAGGTCAGACAACACCTTCCAACACCACCTAGATGTGTATCTAGGAAGATCCTTCACTGGTTTGTTCTTCCTCACAACCTCCCTTTCAGCCCATTTGCTCCAGAAGATCTGTTCCACATTCCACAAATTGAGCACTGCAAGTTTCCACCTCTCGGGGTGAACCTTCTCATTAATCAGCAGATCCAGTCAGTCTAGTGCAGCCTGAAAGATCGTTAGGTCTGGAATCCTCATCAGCGTTCCAAGAGGAAGACAGGGGAAGGGCCAAGCCTGGACCATTGCCCTCCGGATGTCAGTTCACCCTGTGAAGGCCTTGAATAGCGGTGGGAAGAGCTCCTCCGGCAGGTGCTCCAGAGCACAGATGACCAAGGCCTCTTCCCTTAGCAGCTTCTGCCATACTAGCTCCAGGAGTGTGGGTGGGGCCTGGCTGCTCATCTTCGTAGACGGTCAGGCAGAAGGAGCCACTTCTGATCTCTGAGGACGGCTCCTGGAATCCCAGCAGGACCAGGCAGTAGCTCCAGGACTCTTGTCTTCTCCAGCTTCTTTGAAACTTTTTTCACTTTTTTCTCCCATTCTTGACAGTGCTAATTTGTGTCCTTTTTGTTCTTAGTACACAGCTACTGCTTTATAAATTTGATTAAAAAATCTTATCATTATAAAAGGTTTGGTATTATTTTTGTGAAGCAGATTCCTTGGAATCGAAACATTCCCTACAGGAGGGAGAAGAAGGCAGGAGGTAAACAACTGTCGCATGTCTGGGAAAGTGTAAACTTGAAAGATCCTCGAAGGCCCCTCCCTAGATTTATAGAAGCAGTAAACAATGGTTGGAGGAGGAGACTTTTACCAATGGATCTGCTAAAGGAGATTCTGAGACTTGTGGAGCTACCTACAAGTTGTGCAGAGAGCTTCAGGGATGCAGTTTTTGTGAGTCACCCATATTGAGGTGAGCTTTTGGTGGTGCAGCAGTTCTTAAGTTATCTCTATTCTTGCATGTAACCCTTCAACTATACTCTCGTTCATAACACCTCTAAAAACTCACTAGTTCTCCAGGTTAGACTTTGATGCAATAGTTATTTTAGTCTGTTGTATATTTTTCTCTCTGTCTCTCTCTGTCACTCTCTGTCTTTCTCTCTGTCTCTTTCTCTCTCTCTCTCTCTCTCTCTCTCTCTCTCTCTGTTGCATCTTCCCTAGAAAACCTTTCTCACACAATAGTTATTCCTTTATTTTCGACTTACAAATTACTCTTTGTTTCTTGAGTTTATTCTTTTTCCTCTCTTTTTCCCCACCATGGACAGTGGAGATTTGCTCACTAACAAACACTTGAAGTCTTTCTGAAGTCTTGATCACATGGGGACGCTGGGGTTCCCAGTTGAAAGTGAGACACATATTTCTAGTCCAGTGTTTTCCTTATTGAGAAGAGTTAAAAGGTAACCATACAAAAACAGACCCCAGTAAATATTTTTCTCATTAAAGGCCTTGAGAGAAAATAGCTGCTGTTTGAATACACAGATAATGGAAGCAAGGAGTGAGGACCATGAGAACAGGTTACATAGGCACGTCTTCAGAAAGTGCATATCGTTTTCATGACCTTGAAATAACTCTGGTATTCAGAGCATTTCTTCCTAAGACATAATGTGCTGAGGGTCAGGAATTTCTGTGAGTTAGAATGTACTATCTCCAAACAATGCTGTTGGCAACATTTTTCATTTCTAGTAATTTTTTAAAAATTAGTATACAGTGAATTTAGTGCATCTCTCAACTCTCATCAGAGAAGCTTCTTGTGGTAGCAGGCAACTGATACAGTGATCCACACCTGGTGAATGTGCAGATAATGAGACAGTGGACTGCTCGGCCCTAAATGGGATATCTAGATCACACACTTCACCCCAAGGCTTAGGCATCTTTACAGAAGAGGGGGCAGAAAATTGTAAGAGTCAGATGTGGTGGATGACTACAAGAAAGCAGTGTTATTCTGACAGGAAGGCATTTGTACATATGAACTCACAGCAATTATGTTGGCATGTGCAAGGCCTGCTCAAACTCAAGCAGACAAAATCCCAGCATGAAGGGGTTGGGGAACAGACACATAGTTCCATGACAACTGGAGAGCTCTTGACATTTGTTAGCTTCTTGGAGAAGAGGTGTCAGTCTTCAGGGCAGGGTCCATACCCAAGAGCATTTGGACAACAATTGGACTTGATGGGAAGGAAATTAAAAAAAAAAAAGGAACACAAAGTTGGGCAGGTAGGGAGGTGGGGATGGACCAAAGATGATCAAAATACATTGTATAAAGTTCTCAAAGAATTAGTAAAAAATGTTTTTAAAAGGAATAATAGATGATTTAATTACAGATACAGAAATTATACAGAGTACGCATAAAATTTCACATGATAAAATTTAGGAACAATAAATTATATAGATAAATAATATTCCACTGTATAAATTTATCATACTTTAATTTGATGGATATCTAGGTTGTTTCTGTTTCCTGGCTATTATGAAAAGGGTGGCAATGAACATGGATGAAAAAGTGTTTCTGTAGTAGATAAAGAATTTTGGGGGTATATGACCAAGTTGGGCCATATGGCAGATTGATTCTTTTTAAAAAATATTTTATTTATTATTTTTATTTTATGTGTATGAGTGTATTGCCTGCATGCATGTGAGTGCTCCCATGTCATACAATGCCCACGGAGGTCAGAAGAGGGCATAGGATCCCCTGGAACTGGATGGTTGTTAGCTGCCATATGGGTGCTGGGAATCGAACTTGGGTCCTCTGCAAGAGCAGCCAGTACTCTTGACTGTTCAGCCATCTCTCCAGGCTGGTAGATTGATTTCTAGCCTGATATCTACACTGATTTCTCATGTGGAGAAAGACCTGTGCACAGGTCTTCAGTCTGACCAGCCGTGTATAAAAGTTCCCCTTTTCTGTACCTGCCAGCATTGGTCCTTGTTTGTTTTGGGGGACAAGATAAAATCTCAGTGTAGTTTTAATTTGCATTTCCCTGCTGACTAAAAATGTTGAACATTTTCTTAAGTATTTTTCAGTCATTCTCATTTCATTTTTTGAAAACTCCCTGTTCAGTTCCATGATCTATTTCTAAATTGGTTTTCTGGGTTTTGTTTTGTTTTTTGTATATTAATGATATTAACCTTCTGTTAGAGGTATAGCTGGTAAAGATGTTTTTCCTCATTCTCCAGGTTGCCTCTTCACTCAAATGATGGTGTCCTTTTATGGACAGAAGCCTTGTAGTTTCCTGATATCCCATTTGTCAATTGTTTGACTTAATTATTGCATTATAGTAATCCTGTCTGAAAGTTCTTTCCAATGCCTGTAAGTTCCAGTATATCCCCTACATTTTCTTCTAGTAGATTCAGGATATCAGATCTTATATAGAGGTACTTGAGCCATTTGGAGTTGAATATTGTACCTGGTAAGAGGGGTCTAGTTTCATTCTACATTCAGATCCATTTTGACTAACATCATTTGTTGAACACACTCACTGTCTTTACTCTAGTGTGCATTTTAAAACCCTTTGTCAAAAATCAGGTGGCTGTTAATTTTTGAATTTAAATCTGGGCCCTCAATTCTATTCTGCTGATTAATGTGTCTGTTTTTATGCCAGTACCATACAGTTTTTATTACTATGGCTCAGTAGCATAGTTTGAGATCAGGGATGGTAATGCATCCAGCAGTTCTTTTATTGTTGAGGATTATTTTTGCTATCCTGTTTTTTTTGTATTTCCATATTGTGGTGATTTAAATAAGCATGTTGTCTTTAAATAAGACTCCATGTATTTGGGCATTTTGTTCCCAGTTGGAGGAACTGTTTTAGGAGGTTTTAGAAGGTATGTGTGGCCTTTCTGGGGGAAACACGCTACCAGGAGTAAGCTTTGAGAGTTCCTAAGCCTTGCCGGATTTCCAGTCATTCTCTGCTTCCTGTGCCTGCTTGAAGATGTGATCGCTTGGCTCTCTGTTCTGGCCACCTTTGCTGCCAGGCCTCCCCCACCATTATGGACTCTTACCGTGGTGCCTCAAGGTAAAATAAACTCTTCTTTTTATAAGTTCCCTTGATCATGGTGTTTTATCACAGCAACAGAAATGACTAATACATATATGGAATTTGAAATTCTTTTTTCAGTTTCTGTGAAGAATTGTGCTGGAATTTTAATGGGTATTGCATTGAATTTGCAGATAGCTTTTGATGGGATAGGCACTTTTACTATATTGATCCTATCGATCCATGAGCATGGGAGGCCTTTCCATCTTCTGGTATTTTCTACAATTTCTGTCTTTAATGCCTTAAAGTTTTTATTATACAAATCCACTATGTGCTTGGTCAAATTTGTTCCAAAATATTTTATGATTTTTGAGGCTATCATGAATGGGATTGTTTTCTTGATTTCTTTAAAGAAATATTATTAAATCAGCAGGTAAATGGATGGAACTAGAAATAATCATCCCAAGTGAGGTAACCCAGACCCAGAAAGACAAATGTCACATATTTTCTCTAATAACTGGATGCTAATTTTGAATTATTAAATAAGCATGCTTCAATTTGAAAGTTCAGAGAGGTCAGAAAATAAATAAATGGCCAAGGCTGGGGTGTACTTCATGGTATGGGAGATAGAATACAGTGATATAAGGGAGAAAAGGAGAAAAAATAGAGTAGGAAGGGTTAATTGGGATGAAAAATGGCAGGATAGGGCAGAGGAGGGAATGTGGTAAAGGATAAGTAACATTAAAGTCCTTTAGAGAAAGCCATATGGGAACTACTGTTAAAGAAGATTCTTGTTGCTGTTTTGTTTTGTTGTTTAAACTTTGAGATATTTTGTTGTGATGGCTCACATTGATTGTTAACAGGATCTGGAATCCCTCGAGAAATAAGTTACTGGGCATGTCGGCGAGGGATTAAGTAGACTGAGATAATTGAGATGGGAGACCCCACTACATGTGTTTGGCAGGGGATCTACACTGAATAAAAGTAGCAAAGTGAGCTGAGCACAAGCATTCATCTCTCTGCTTCATGACAGATGCAATGTGACCAACTGCTTCACAGTCCTCCCGACATGCCTTCCCCACCATGTTGGACTGTACCCTCAAACTGTAATTCAAAATAAACCCTTCCTTCTTAAATTTATTTTTGTCCGGTATTGTGTCACAGCAGTGAGTAAAATAATTTATGTAACCAGTTGATTTCAAGTCTTCATTTCATATTTAAATAATTTAATCTTTTTATTATTTTTCTCCTAATTAATTTTAGTTTAAAGGGATTTTTTTTTCTTTTTTCTTTTTTTTAAAAATTTTTTTGAGACAAGGCCTTCCTGGAGCTCCAGCTGGCCTAGAACTCTCTATGTAGATTCATTTGCCTCTGCTTTCCAAGTGCTTAGATTAAAGTAGTTTAACTCTTTAAAAATAGTTTTGAAATAGAAGA